AACTACTTCACAGTTAGGGCGGCTAGGAGCTGGAACCAACTTCCAAGGGAAGTGGTGCTGGCCCCTACCCTGGGGGTCTTTAAGAAGAGGCTGGATGCCTACCTGGCTGGACTCGTTTGAGTCCCGTTTCTTGTTTTGGGGTTTTGTTGTTCTCCCGCCCTGGCGGGGGGTCGGGCTAGAAGATCTACTAGGTCCCTTCCGACCCTTAATCTATGAAACTATGAAACTATGAAACCAAAAGTGACAAACAATTAAACTGTTAATCTGAGTCACGAAGTGGCAGAGCTGTCCCTAGAGGTGTGGGAGGCCCGGGGCATATCAGCCCATGTGGGGCCAGGGGGTGGCGAGTGGCTGGCGTGTGGACTGGCGGGGGGCCCCCCAAGCAACCAGAGCACAGAGCCAGCGGCACGCAGCAGCCATGGCAGGGCCTGTACGGTACTGTCTGCAGGGACCCCTAAAGCGTGGGGCCTGGGGCGGTTGCCCCAATTCACTGCCCCCTAGGCATGGTCCTGTTAAGTGATATAAAAAAGGATATGGATACATGGATAACAACATAGTTAGCATTAAATACCTTAACAGAGGTATCTGTTAAAAAATAAAGGTTAATTAACTTTCTATTTCAATCAGCCTAGCAGTTTCGTCAATTTGTGTAACTGTTTCCAAGCCATCTTTCAGTCAGAAGGGTTATAGTTACCCTTTGGGATCTTCTTTCTTAGCCTACAATAAAACTAAGCTTTGTTTTATTGCCAACCTGCAATCTCCTTTGCAGAGACTTCTTTGTTAACAGCGCACATGGGGACTAATGGCAAAGCCCCCTAAAGAAACCCAAAGGACTTTCCTAGACTACAATGGGTTCTGCATCAAGCTCTAGTCATTTTCTTTATGGAGGCACTGTCACTTCTGAACTGCAGAAATAGAAAATGGTGAACATACAGCTAAACTAAAACTCCACTGGCATCCTACCCTTCTCTCTCCTGCTTTGGGATCGCTTCTTTGCCCAGTTCTCACCGGGGTCCTCCCGGTGTTAATTTAAGAATAGACTGTTCTATTTTTGTTGCCTGTTTACCTCTGCCTTAAAACAGTCCAGTAAAAGGCCTACCTTGCTGTGAAGCTCTGTAGGGACCCATGGGTCGCTGTCCCATCATGCTGTTGCCTTGGTTGCTCTGACTCATCATGGCAATGGAGGACTGTCCTTGGTAATGTTGGCTCCCTCCTTGTGCTGAATTATAATGTGACGTTGCCACTTGTTGGTGCATCATGGAGACTATATAGCACATAGATAACAATGGTTTCTAAAGAGAGGTGATATTTCTCTCCTTGGTCCCCTTGAAAATAAGCTAAAACTCTCAGACAAGTTAATGGCTTCTATTTCCATCCTAGTCACCCTGTTAATTTTCCATAGGAAAAAAAAAGCAAATTGTATCCATTGTCCCAGTGCACATACTTCATTTTTCTATTCTTTCATCTGAAGCGATATGCTATTATATCACTTCATACCCGTATGGGTCTTTAATCCATAGCTCATAAAGACTTGCTCATAGGCACTGTGGTATGGGGCTAATGAAGCCTGGGGACCACTATGTCACATAGCCAGTACAGTGATGTTTTCAGTAGGGCATTTAAAAATACAACCCATCTCAATGATGAACACAAATTCACTGCTGCAAGAGAACCACAAGTGTCTTGTATGAGGAAATTAATTAATGAGGAAATTAATCTACCTGCATTTTTCATTCCTTCTCTAATCAACTTTAACCAAGTCCTTTCAAACCCAGCAGAGAAGGAGAAGGAGCCTTACCTGGGTTAGACTGCATGTTGATATTTGTTCGAGAAACATAATTGCCTATTGACCCCTGGCCTTGCATTGGCACGTTCTGAGATGCAGGCACTGTATGGCTGTAACCAGGCCCCGTGGCATGACTGCTGACAGTCATGCTCAAGGAGGTGGTGGGCATGGTATTCTGGCCTGACTGCTGCATAGACACATGACTGGGACCTAAGGGAAAGCAAAGAAAGCAGCAAGGAACGTTACTGAAAACACACAAAGTTCTGCAAGCCTTCCTGCAGTGACTGTTATCGTATCTAGGAACAAGGGCGGGGGAAAAAAAAAAAAAAAAAGTCAAATGAAATCAAATTCATTGTGCCAACAGTCATAAAAACAAACAATTCCCCAAATTCCAACTTCTGGCCCTGCTAATTACAAACAGCTAAAACGGCTGCCTAGCCAAAGAACTAAACTGGGCCTCAGCCCCAGAACCAAACCTGGGCTGGAAGGAAAACAGGAACAGATTTTGGAGCTGGAGCCCTACAACCAGAAAGCCTCATCAGCAGGACAGAAAACAGCTGTAACGTGCAATATGGTTGGCAGAGTGCCAGGTGCAGCCTCAGGCACTACCATTAACCAAGGACTCCCAAGGTCCCAGCCCCTGGACATCTCCGCTGTTACTTGACAACTGTCAGCTTCTGCCTCCTTCTCCATTGCAAGCGAGGAGTTCCCACTCTCCTCACCCCTTCTCACACACAGGGTGTTACTGGAAGGACACAGCAGTGCCTCCGTGTTGCCAAGGCATCCACAGAACATCTCACAAACCGGCTTTCTCGACTGCTGAAGTTTAAAAGCACATAACCAAGGATACAGGGACTCTGTCATCTCACAAGCCATGGGGGAGAGACATCAGCTTTTTTGGTAGGAGCACAGCGAAGTCCCATAAAGGGAGGGCAAGGGGAAGAAAGTCCCAGCAAGCCCTCCATATAAGGAGAGAGAAAGGGAGTCTATCAAACCTCATTTGAAGGTGGAAGGAAAGAGAGGGCACAATGCATTCACCCACCCCCTGCTCTGCAGCTGAAATATCCTCTTCTTTCTCCAGTCCTCCTTCCCTGTAACAGCTCAATTGCCGATAACTCAGATTTTCTGAGGAGGTGTTTTCCAGAACACTATGATAAACCTTATTTGTGACCCTGTTTCCTCCCACACCAGTCTACTACATGGCCTTGCTTCTCCAGAAATCCACCCCGGCCCATGAAATTCAGTTCTGAGGATATGTTGCAATAATATCCAGACAACTGGGACTGCCATAGCAGGACACTATGTCCTGGCTTCACTGATTTGCTTTCACCAAGCTCTGTAAATCAAATCCAAAGCCTCTGTCTTTGTATTGGGCCTAAAGAGAAAGCGGGAGTTTCACAGAGCCTCGTGAATCATCCTATAAACTAAAGAGTTTCTCCTCTGTGTACTGCCGAAGGTTCTGGGTTACCAGCCCTGCCCTTTTGTAGAAGCTGAGCTAGCGTTTTCCTAGTCCTCACACATTTCAGGGGTGCTTCCACAGCTCCTTGCTGAGGTGGCAACACACAAACTGGCCTGATTTCAACTCTTTAAGATCAGAGATAGGGATAGGAGCCACCAGTCTTCCTTTCCTGTAGGGGGTTGCAAGAAGGAACCTTGTGGCTTCATGCAACCTTCCAGCGGTGTAGGGGTTTTACTTGTACTTGGGGTCACCCCAGTGATACAGCCGATTTTGATTATTAAAACACGTTGTTCTAAATTGTACAGAGTTAGTCACAGTATGAACAACAGTGCTGGGGGCTGTAAGCAGGGACCTAATGACCCCAAGGTGTGCTTAGTTCTATTGCCATTACTTCAACTGAACAGAATCAGGTCCCTGTTTCATACCCACTATCACTTTGGGTCCTTTCAAGTCCCGTGCTTTAGAAAGGTAGATGTATGTACTCTGTACCATTTCAAGGTACTGTTGCAAGCTCATTTGCAGTGGAAGACATGCTGTTCCCCAAACAATAGAGCAATATGTTGCACTACCATTACAATGTTATTTTAAGCTATTGTTATTGGTTGAATTTATAACCTGAATGGCATTTTAAATATTTCTGTATACATTTCTTTAATTATTCATAAAATATTTATGAATATTGAAATGAGAACACTTGTTGTAGTGTAGATCGCTGTATTTTCCCTTAGAGAAAGTGGGGGCCGCATTCTCAGCAAGTGCAAACAGACCTAGCTCTGCTGAAGTCAGTGGAACCATGCCAAGTTATTGTACCAAAATATGATGCATGTCTTGCTACAGTTACGCATGTGTTGTACAGCTGATACTTGCTCCTGAAAGAAACACAAGACAACATGGCATGTGAATGAATAACAGAGCCAGTAATCACTTTGAGTGAGAGCACTTCTGCTGAGGGTGCTTACAAATTCGGCAGGCTGTGTCAAAGATAGCATTACTTACAGTCTTTTCTTAAAGCCCTAGCTCCCAGATTTGTAGGACTACTTATGAATCTTACCCTCACTTAAACAGATTCTCTGTAACTAATGGCCGTGGACAGAAACTTGGAGACGTAATTCTAGTGGCCTTAGGGAACGGGCACATGGTGATCCATGATAAATGCTGAAGGCTGGCAGAGCCAGTTGGTCCTAAAAGGTTGGGAATCACTGGGTTAGTTTCAACACAGCCATGTTCACAAGCTGTTGTTTAAGCTAGATGGTCCTGGCTGGGGAGCCAAGGCATAAAAAACTATTCTGGTTGGCATTTCAAGACTTATTTGAAATGCTAGTGGTTGTTTCTGTCCCCCTCAACCAAATCACTGCACTTGGCACCCTGGCTGGCAGTCTTAAGGAGGATGTCAGGGACTGAATGAACACAGAAACCTGATCTTCTTTCTAGAGCTGATTCCTTCTAAGAATGACCGAGGATGATGCTATGGAAGCTGGCACTGCTGACCCTGTCTCCTGTGCATTATCTTGTTTAGTTATGGGCATCATTTTATATTGCTGTCACTTGACCACTTGCCACAAATGCCAGAGCTCTCATTTGGAGAACTGCAGGCGCCTTTGCATACCTAGTTTGTGAAAGATACTGCTGTAAGTAAGTTTGTCAGTCACAGGGGGCATCTACACCAATGATTCTCAGCCAGGGTGCTATGATATACAGGGGTGCCACAAGATCCACAAGATCCTGTTAAGGATGCCACACAATATTAGCACAGTTAGGTGTGCAAACATCTACATGCGATTCACATGTTAAACCCAGATTTCAAATAGAAATCTATAGTGTCCAAAGCATTCTGACCTGTTGTGGTCTTTCAAAGTCTTTGCAACAAAATAATTGCTCTATTATTTTTCCATTATCAAAAAACAAGTAAAGCTAAAAGCCTGCATTTTCCAAGGGATGCCTTGAATCTAAAAAGGTTGAGAACTACTGGGCTACACAGTTAAGCAAGGGCAGGATTGCAGCATGTCTGTGCTAGCTGGATCTAGCAAGCAGAGACAACAGGAGCAGTGAAGATGATTCAGCATGGGCTGGAGCACATGATAGGAAGCAGAATACATACCCAGACTCCCTGGAAAGCTTGTGCTAATATCTGTGCCACCACACCTTCAGTGTTACTGTTACTCACAGGCAGACAAGGTTCTTTGGTAAACCTAATCTTTTTTATTAGACCAACTCAAATAGTTGGAAAAATTCTTCGTAGCAAGCTTTTGGGCACAAACACCCTTTGTCAGGCTGAGGGTCTGTCAGGCTGCAGACGCTGTGTGCTCTTTCTGGGTGGAGTGGTAAAGCAGCCAGAGGCCAGTACATATGCAACAAAGCCAGTCAGTTAAAATATAAATTGAGGTGGTCAGTAGGTGAGAGGCAGGTGGGGGGGAGGAAGGGAGAATGAATGTAGCTGTAGTCAAAGGATGAGACACAGCTACTGTCTGTAGCTACTGTTATTCACACTAGCTAGTTTCAGTTTGCAAAGGTATGTTATAATCAGACCTTTGTTTTGCTGGGAACTTAGTTGAGTTTGCACTAGGGTTGTCTTCTTGGGACAATACTGACTGGCACTAACCAGCTGCTCTGCTGGAATTCTCAGCAGAGAGCCCAAGGATAAAACGGGGATGGAGACGGAGCTACCCTCTCATCCCCTGAAATCTAGTCACGGCTGGCACATTTTGATGGGCACTGCCACTGTCCTTAGTGTTACTTGTGCTGTGGCTAAACAGAGGGCTTCAAGGCTGCCAATCGGCACCCTTCCAATCAGCATTGAATTCACACAGAAAATGTAGAGAAAGAAAATCAAAAACAATAATGAAAATGGAAATTCTTAGTACAACACAGCAATCCTTGTTAGTCGAAGAACCTTACAACCAGGAGGCCCAGAATAAACTTATGAAGGTCAGAACTATAAGCTGTAAAACTATCCAAAGGAAGAGTCTCAGGCAGTGGTTTAAAGGGAAACTGTCAACTTGCCCACAAGTCAGCTAAAAAAAAAAAAAGAAGTGAGAAGTAGTTTCCCAGCTTGCACCTGCTCCTGGGTCATTTCAGCAAGGTCTGAGGTTTTACAGTCGCATTTTCCTGTTTTTAGAAAATGAACTTCTCTTCTCTATCACTGGGAAACTGGGAAAAGATGCACATGAACAACACCAGAAAGATGCAATTGTGAAGTGGGAAGTGGGAAGATACCAAATGTTGTCAAATACACAAAGTGAACAAACTGAAAAACACAAAAAGTCCCTCTAGTCACTTTCAGTTAAATTTGTCTTCAACGTTGGGGGGGGGGGGGGGAATCAGACAAAATGTTGTTTGTTAAGTTGATAGTTTCCCCTTAAAGAATGTAGGCCAATTATTTGGTCAGGTGGTACAAGATTTTTAGACTTCTCTAGAAGAAGACTGATGTTACTCCATTTTATTTTTGAAAAGGTATTAGAAGAACTTTTCAGTATAAAGGCCTCAACCAGAGTCTGTGGCTCAGATGAGCAATCTTCAGCCTGTTTATCTCACCTAACTCACTGGGACTGACTGCCTGTGTGCAAAATACTTGCAGTATGCAACCCAGTGTATTTTTATGATCAAACTCATTATGATGTTTAATTATTAGGCATATATTAATTGGTGATACTCACGACACATTTTTATAACATGTTGGTTTTTTTTTTATTTTCCCTCTAGAGAGATACTGAGTGGCCTGGAGCCCTTGCAGACCCCAAGAAGCAATGTCAATTGTAGCCATTTTGTGAATATTTCAGCATGTGCCTGAAATTCCCATATGCCTGAAGGTGAGTTACAGAGCTGTAACAGACCGCTTCTAAGTATATTCTGCATTAATGATGTTGTTGCCAGGCAACAGGAAAGCAGCACAAAGGGGAACAGTGCTCACCATTGCTAATCTGACTCTGCATGAGGGAGGAGGGAGGAAGGCCTGTCCCAATCGCATCGCTGAGATTGCTCTGTGAATGGAGGGACTGGCTGGATGCGCTCTGAGTCATTCCGCCTGGGCCCAAGTTCATGTTTTGCGTTGGTGGCTGCAAACAACAGGGAGGAGAAGCAGATTTTTAGGTTTTAATTAAAAAAAAAAAAAAATATATATATATATATATATATATCCTTCCACCCTTCCCAAGCTGACATGACTGTGGCTGCAAACGGACTCAACCAAAAATGCACTTCCACATCTTGCAGGCCTTGGGCTTGGTTTTGCAAAAGCAAGTACTCCTTTATGTACTCCTACCAATTGGAAGTCAGCCTGGTACAGAGAGGCCAGTAAGAGACCCATACCCCAATGAAGTCAAGGTGTACAGCAGGGCTCAGACCTCGGGCTGGCCCTTCTGTGCTTAGGTGAGCTTCATTCTAAGCTAGCAGGCTTGCTAAACTCAATGCAAGCTAGCAGGCTTGCTAAAGGCACAAGCAAAGAGTACTCACACGTCAGGGCTGGGTGGGATGAATGTGGATAAAGCAAATCATTAGCCACGGCATAGTGCACAAAGCTGCCACTTTCTAAATAGATTACATCGGCTAGAAACTCACTGCAAAATAGTAAGCCATAAACACAGTGTCTGATCCTGACAATTTTACTCAGACAAAACTTTCATTTAAATCAATGGGAATGTCCCCTGAATAGCAGCACCGGATCTGACCACAAGCAAAAAAATAAAAGATGTTCAGAATGATTGCAAGAAGCAAGGATTTCTTAAGCTGATATCCGTTATCGGACCACCTGTATAGCTGGGATAGAATTAGCCAAGTTTCGAGTGCAAGACACTCCTCATAATTCTAGTTCTGGCCTCATTTATTTAAGCAGTAAAAGCTGCATTAGTGAAAGTAGTCTTGATGGCAGCCTGTAATGAACAACATGGGGAACAGAACTTTGATAACGAACGACTCTTCAATCTAGCAGGCAGGGATGACAGGATCCAATGGCTGGAAGCCATTGGCAAACAAATTCCTACTGGTTATGAGGCACAGTTTTTTAGGTAATTAGCCTTTGGAACAACTTACCAAGTAGTAATTCATTCTCCATTGCTGAAAATTTAAATTCACTTTAAATCAAGATTGGAGGGTTGCATTTTTTGTTTTTAATAAGGATCTGCTCTGGTTCAGTTATTCCAGGGAAGTCCTATTTGCAGCATTCTGTAAGGGGGCAAACTAAAGCAGGGCTGTCTAACTTCTAGGAGGCTGGGGGCTGCATGCTGTACAGGCCACGCCAGCAGGGATCATGGGCTCCTGGGTCTCACACTGCATGAATGCCCCCCACCATG